AAAAGTGAAAACGAAATTTCAAAATATGTAAAATTTAAATTTAACAATTTCTAAATATTATTTCAGGTTAATGGCTGATCAAGATAGTGGTGTTGTAAAACATCAACTACCACATATAATAACTGATCCACCAAGTAGTGATGAAAATACTCCATCGGCAAAAGTTCCCGAACTATTAAAAGGCGCTATGGAAATGTGATAACACATCTGTACAATATATATATATTTTCTTGTTTACATTCACATTATTCCCACTTTCTTTTTTCATTTTTTTTTCATTTCCATTTCTAAAATTTGATTCAATTTTACGATCTCTTTTATTCTTTTACATTTTATTATTATTTGTTTAAAAGTATTTTTTTATGGGATGAAAATTTGCTGAAATCAATGACAAATTTGATGATTTTTTTCCTTTTTCTTTCTTTCTTTGAAAGAAATAAAATTGTCGACAGAAAATTAATCCGACAATTTTCAAAAAACTTTGTTAAATTGGACAGATATTTTAAAAATGTTGTAAATTGAAATGAATAATTGGTTTCATTGGAAGAAAATCTTATTGATGATGAAATTTTGCTCGTTTTTTTTTCCAAAAAATTCGACATTTTTTCTAAAAAAAAAAAAAAGAAATGAATTATTCCATTATTAAACAGTGTCATAAATTTTAGGTCAGTTTGAAAAATCCGTCTTTATCTTAAATCATTCATCGTTTGAACACCAAACAATGCTTAACTTCTCTGTACTGATATCAATCAAGCATTTACTTCAGATTGTTAAATAATTCTATCAACAAAAATTATTAAACTGATAATTATTAAAATTCATTTTCTTTTTTTTCTTTTAAATTAATTTTTATCAAAGAGAATTTATTTCATTTCATTGAGCTAACAATAATGCAATGCAAAAAAAGCAAAAATTTCTCAAATGATAGAATAAATAAATCAATCGTTGCTATATTTTGGAATCGAAATATTTAATTTTACATTTATTTCATATTTTATTACATAATTTGCATGCATATTTGATAACAATTTAATAGAATTAATCATTATTCATTTTTGCCGATAATTATTTTTTAATATTTATTAAACAATTTTAAAATTTTAAACTTTTAAAATCTGCTATCATTTTTAACATCTCTTTATCTTTCTTTCAGCTTCTTCTCCTTTTTCTTTTTTTTTTAATCTATTAATTGAATGGAAATATTTCAAAGTCTTATCATTCTTATTTCTTATTTGTTTAATAATAATTATAAAAGTATGCAATATAAGGGATTGAAAAAAGGAATAAATCTTGGGAATTATTTGATTAATTATTGAATTTATAAAAATTTTGCTATAAAATAATATATCACATATATCGTTATCATTATACGTTTCATATGATATATATATCATTTTATGTAACGGGTATATTTTATTTAATAACGATCAAATATTGGCATCTTTTTTGAAAATGCGAAAATATTTCCGGAATTCAGGAAATTGTCTTATTTCTGATATTAAAATATTTTTCCGGTGCAGTTTTTTTTCTTTGTTTTTTTTTTCATATTCTTTAAATAAAATTACTATAAAATTTCAATGATTATTTTTTAATTTAAAAAATTTTTTTTTTCGTTTCCTTCTAATCTTATAAGAATATGAAATATTTGATTAATTATTTGCAATATTTATTGAATTTTGTTCTGTTTTCATTTCAAAGATTTCTTCCAAAACAAACAGAATGATAGGCCGGTGGCGTTATCATTGTCATTACATATATATGTATATATATGTATGATCAGTGCCTTAATCAATGTATGTCTTCATAAATTGATAATGATACTGTAATTCGTTACGCTTTTCATGATTATTTGCCATGTCGCATAAATGTGATTATTATTTTGATGATAACAAGCAATGAATAAAAGAAAAGAATTGTATGGATAGATAGAACGGAATTCATTTATTATCTGAAATGATTAATTAACTTATTTCATGATTTATTCATTGTGCGCAAA